AATTATATAATATTTATTTGGTTCTTCTTATAGTTTCTTTTCTGAGATTTTCTGTGTGTGCATTCATTACAAGTATATTTGCCTTTATATTCTTAAGTATTGATATAATAATAGCTATTTTAAGATCATATGCTATTTCTTCTTTCTTATTGCAGTATGAGCGTCTGTTGCTTGCTTTTTCTAATGGGCATGATTCACTTTTTCCTTATGTCAAGCAATTTTGAATTCTTTCATGTGCACTGTAAATAAAACATTGTAGAGCCTCTGGATTCTATCATATTCCCCTAAAGAGTATTTATTTTTTTCTAAAGCAGGCAATTATCTCAAAACTTCAAACTTTTTCTAGGGACCTTTTAAAATACCTCATTTACTACTGTGTGATAATATTCAGAAAATGTTGGACTAAATTTCTGCCCTCAAGCCCCTTATAAAATAGTTCTCAGAGTTAACTGTTAGTAGTCTTACTAGGCTATTCCAGAGTTTTATGTAGTCTGTCCTTCAGATGTGCTTTATCTCTTATCTAGTATTCCTACTATATCATTCCACCAGAATTAAGGAACTGGCTTATAGTTCTGAAATAACCCAAAACATGACCAATTTTCATGTCTTTTTTTTTATATGTAGGTCTTTGCATTTCTAAGCCATGTGTGATCTCCTTATTGGAGCAAGGGAGAGAGCCTTGGGAGATGACAAGTGAGATGACAAGAAGCCCCTTCTCAGGTGAGTGTGGAAGAACCAGAGAGAGGAATCTTTTTGACATCATGGCTCAGCCATTTTTAGAGGCGATACCTTCTCACTTATGCATCTCAGAAACTCTACATCAGCCTTACAGGCCTGGGGGAGAAAACGGAAACTTTATACTTAACATGGGCCCCTCAAATATCTTCTCTTCTACTTGACTGTCTTCTCTCTAAGAACTAAGATTCTCTAGAGATTAGAGAATCTTAAATCTCTTAAGATTTTTGTCTTGCAAAAATCTTTATCCAGCTCCTTACCATCCCCTTTTGCTTTGCCATACAGACTTATATAAACTTTTGTGTTTCTTAAATCTTTTCTTAACTCTTGCATTAGGTTCTGCTTACAAATTATAATGTACCCTTCTGTTCTTTCATTCCTTTCCTGTAGCAGATAGGAAAAATCTAAACCCTGTTAGCCTCTTCCTGACCAGCTCCCTCCTACTTCTATAGACTCATTCTTTATTACTTTTTAGCTTTTTCATTATACTTTAGTCCAGAGTTTGCTAAATTATGTGAGATACCGAGGGTATGTTTCAAGTGAGTTACAGGTATACCAAGCTACTGAGTCTGTCAAGAGCCTTGGAAGACTAGATGGGTCCAGAGGTAATTCCAAATCTGATCGCCTCTGAGTCACAGGCAGTATCATTCTTTTGCCTGCTCCACCTGTGTTTTACAGATGTCATATTGAATAAGTATTCATCTAGCCCATGGGTCAACTTTTCTGAACTCACCAAGCTTTTTACTGACTCAGGCATTTGCATTTCCTGTTTCCTCTACCCAGAATGTTCCTCTCTTGGGTCTGTCTACCCTGAATATCAAGTCAGAGCTAAAAAATCATCTCATCAGAGGCCTTCCCTAACCACCTTATGTAATGAACATTTCTCCATCCCAACCCATAACTGCCCAACGAGCCACTGTTTATTTTCTTCCTAATACTCAGGAAAGCCTACAGTTAACTTGTTTATTGCTCAGTGCTTATATTCTGCCTCTCCCATTGAAATCAAAGTTCCAAAAGACAAGGGCATATCAATATATACCGTTACAATTATACCTTAAAACATTCTCCTTTCCCTTATGTAACAGTGTTTGATCTTTACATTTTGGGATAATTTGGATCCTAAACTGTCTGTGTCCTCCAAATACAATAGTCCCCCTATTAAAGGTTTTGCCTTCTGCAGTTTGTTACCCACAGTCCACCACTGTCCAAAAATATTAAATGGAAAATTCCAGAAATAAATAATTTATATGTTTTAAATCGTGCACCATTCTGAGTTGTATGACGAAGTCTTGCACCTTTCTATTCTGTCCTGCTCAGATCATGAATCATCCCTTTGTCTAGCACATCCAAGCTGTATGCCCTACCTGCCTGTTAGTCTCTTAGTCTCATCTAGCTTTTCAGATCTGTTGCGTGTGGTGAATATAGCGTTCAGTATTATTCCAGGTTTCAGGCATCCACTGGGTCTTGAAATGTATCCACTGTGGATAAGGAGGGATGACTATACCCACACATCAGAAGGGAAATAGACTCTGCTTAGATGCACTTTATACTTTGGTTTTGTATGAAGATGCCATCTGCCTTAAATAGAGAAACAGAAAAGAACTTTCCTAATAATTGGCCCTGTGAAGAACAAGTAGAAGAAGGGAAAAGGAAGAAGCTATAAGTCTGGTGGGATGCTGAGTCAATGTGTAGATGTAAGTATTATTGTATGCATAAGATATCTTAGTGTCTGTTTAAAAAGGCCAGAAAATTAGGAACAACCATGGCTCTCTGTAGGAAATTGAAGTTGAAGACAATCTTCATGTGACAAAAAAGTAAAATGTGAGAAAACAGTAGATGATGGACTCAGCTTTCTGTGTCTTTTTCTAGTATTGTTATCTTCAGTCTGTCTATGTAGGAAAAATTATAGGTGATTAGTTCATTAACCCCACATTGCCTCAGTTCTTGAAGCATGGGTACCCTTGTCTGAATGTTTGTGTGCCCCTGAAATTCATGTGGAAATTATCTTCTCTAGAGTGATAGTGGTAGGTGGGGACCTTGGGAGGTGATTAGGTCATGATGGCTCATGAATAGGATTATTACCTTTATCAAAGGCCCAAAGGAGCTTCCTTGCCCCTTCCACTGTGTGGGGAAACAGGAAGAAGGCACCATCTGTGAGAAAGCCAGCCCATGCCAAATCTGCCTGGGCCTTGATCTTGGATTTCCCAGTCTGCAGATCTGTGAGAAATAAATTAGCCATGCCCAGCTAATTTTTTATAAGTATATTAGTCTGTTTAGTTATAAGTGTTGTTTGTAAGTGTATTAGTCTGTTCTCAAGCTGCTAATAAAGACATACCTGAGACTGGGTAGTTTATAAAGGAAAGAGGCTTAATTGACTTATAGTGCCACATGGCTGGGGAGCTCTGACAGTCACAACAGGAAGCAAAGGAGGAGCAAAGTCACTTCTTACGTGGTGGCAGTCAGGAGAGAGTTTGTGCAGGCGAACTCCCATTTACAAAACCATCAGATCTTGTGAGACTTATTCACTACTACGAGAATAGTACGGGGGAACTGCCCCCATGATTGAATTATCTCCACCTGGCTCTACCCTTGACATGTGGGTATTACTACAATTCAAGGTGAGATTTGTGTGGGGACACAGCCAAACCACATCAGTAAGCTACCCAATATATGGTACAGTCATGGGCCACATAAACAATATATCTATCTATTATGGACTGCATATTAAGACAGTCATAGAAGATTATGATGGAGCTGCCCTATACAGGTATAACTTTAAAAAAATCTCTTCTGGCTGGGTGCAGTGGCTCACACCCATAATCCCAGCACTTTGGGAGGCCGAGACGGGCGGATCACGAGGTCAGGAGATCGAGACCATCCTGGCTAAC